TCCGCTAGTTGTAGCATGACGAATGAGTTGCCTGTTTTTCATGCAAAGGAATGTAATTAAGTTTGGGCTTGCAGTTCAGTACAAGGCGCTATAAGTATTAAGAGGATCCTATTTAAAACAGGCCATATTAGCAGAAGACGTTGAAAAAGGAAAAGGTCATTTAGGAGCTCATTAAGCTCCAAATTCCTTACCCGAGGTCGTTCCTTTAAACTCGAATAACGGCCCATCATTTTCCTTGAAATTCACCTCACTTTTCAGTCGTTTTTACTCGGCTTAGTCGAATAGTTCGATCCAGTTCTCCGCTTTCCCTTCAGACTTCGAGTTACCTAAATTCTACTATATTATATGGGATATATCGCGCAGCTGGGAAACCATGATGTCAGTCAAAATTGCCGACACTTCATAGCGGGGCTCCCACGCGCGCTTACAGAGCCCCATACTCATGGAATATGGTCAACCTCTTTTCGTTTGGTTGTCACGTGATAGACCGAACGTATGTACGTACATAAGTACGTACGTAAGCGTCTACAGATTGTACGGGTGGGGTAGGGGAGACTATCAAAAGGAGGGAGGGGTGTCTCAGGTGTGTCTTGGCAAGTCCACATCTTTTATATCGGACATTCACAATATGGTCAATTGACAGCTATCAAAACAGGATAGCCACTGACCAGTATCCCATGACCATATCACCGGCTCATGTGTCAACTCATCGAGGTGACGTGATTTATTTGGGAGCTGTCCGCTGACCAGTTTATTGTTTTATTAGATCGCGAACAATGTTCAATCTCATACTTTTTAGCTAGTTTGGGAGCACAGGAAAACTGATAATGCACAAATTGGACATCAATGTTTTGATCAATTGACAGCTGTCTAAACAGGGTACCCGCTAACCAATATCACTAGGGCTCAGGTGTCCACCCATCAAGGTCAAGTATTTTTTGAAGTTTTCCCTCACAAGTTACTAGTTTCAAGTGGTCGCAGGCTCGAGTTTAATTTTTTTTTAAATTCATATGAAATATGTTGTGTTTATGTGCTGTACAATTAAAATTTTGATTTCAAACTGACCTCGGACGCGAAAATTCAGCCAGCTGTTACAGGCAGGGAAGACGGTTGCTTTTGACTTTTCTCACCCATGGTCACGCGTTGGTCACGCTCTACGTCCAATTTTTATGCTCTTATTGGTCAAAATTTGACAGGTAAGTTCATGCGCAAAATTTATGCAGCATCTTGAACCAAGAACGAGAAGTCCAAAGACTACTGCAAAGCTGATTTAAAACAACGTGTATGTTTTTATAACAATATTTTGGCTGGCCATACCAGCCCTCTTCAGGTTTACATATGTCATTGAACTTATGTAAGAATCACAATAATTATTATATCACGATGGAGAATGTCGCAATAAAAATTGTTTAAAAGGGAGAGGCGAAATGACGTACAACATAAAAACTGGAAAGGAAAAAATACTAAGGATATGGATTACAATAATTCGTCAAGGCGGTTCAGTCCATGAGGTTCAAGAGTCATGGCCTTATCTTTCAAATGCGACTCCCTGGCCACAGCGGAAGGAGCCTGGCGGAAAATGATTGGTGGAGATAACGGGCAATTGTGCTTTAACTAAAGGGTCACGAAGATTAGAGCTACGTCTGTAAGCAACAAAAGGCGGTTGCTTAAAGACGTCTTTCCAACGGTTAGAGGAGTGTAAGATGCTAAAATGTTTGCGTAGGATATTAGAAATGCAGCATCTTGAATCCTATTTACTTTGACAGCTGAAGCCGACAGAGTTGTGTGTCAACTTGTGATGTTTTCAACTATCTTTTTCCACTGGATGTACAAAATGAAATACAGCTACTATCAGGAGACTTCTGTTATTCGTGGCTAGTTTGTTTATTGGGTTTTTGGTTGAGAAAGACGTCGCTTGTCAAAGTCCGATATCGGATGGCTTCGTTTTCGTTTTCACCTTGCTTGACGCGTAAGAGGGTTGTAAAGTCTGAAGCGATACTGGCCTTACTTTGATACCTTTCAGGAGCTGCATCTCGAATAGCAAGCCAGAGTAATTGTTGTATTTGATGTTTGTTTATTGTATCTAATTTAATGAAGTCGAGCGTAGTTTATGCGGGTATTTATTTTATGCACGTTTGTAAGATTTGAGACAATGATCTGACCGAGTATCAGGTTTGATATAAGCTCAGGGGCACCCAACGACAATTTTCGGAAGAATATCTGTTCGGAAGACGATTTGAGATCTAGAATTTTCGAAACATTTGTTGTAAAATTTCTTGCTTGCCTGCCTCTCCTAGGATTTTCGAACATGTAAAAAATGGTATAATTGCCTATTTTTAACGGATTTTTACCCTAAAAAGGTCACCTAGAATTTTTGGTTGCCTTTTTTCTGGCTGAAATTTTCGAAACGTTTTGATCCCTATTATTTTCGGATCACTAGAGTTTCAGCTAGGAAATACAAACAGATGAAAAATTTTTAGGGGATAAAAATATGCCTATATCTACCGTTTAAATACTAAAATACGTTTAACAATGCTATGTTTAAGTGGTTTTGAACTATATTCTCGTTGGGTGCCCCTGTAAGCTTACAGAACTTTAAAAAGCCTTTAAACAGTTTCTCATCGTAAATAGAAAGAAAACGTTCCAAAGAATATTTATTTATAATTCTGGCTGTAAAAGAAAGCTTTGAGCGATTTTCTTGCCTTGAGTTCGTCTTTGAAAAAAGCAAACACCGGAAGCCGGCTAAAACATAAACTTAAGCTTTAAGCTTGAAGACTCAGGATGAGAGACACTTTAATACTTGTCTTCCTGAATGAAAATTGTTGTCTCTGTGTGTTTCACCGAATTGTATTTTTTTATTGACTGTTAGTAGTCTCTCTTGTAATTTTTATCGCTCTGCCGATTGTTTTCAGTCGTTCAGTGAACATCGCTTGCAGGAGTACTCAAAATGCTTCGCGTTAAACCATTAAATAAAAAATAAACATAATAAATTATTTATTATGTTGGAGCGTAACTCTGTTAATGTTCATTCAAACACTCGCTACAGCTCGCACTACAGAAGTGAGAACCGGATGGCCGTATAGGTGATTTTGGAAATTCTTTTAACGATTTAGCTTAAAGCCCACGCGTACTTCTATCGTCCTGAATACTGAATGGTGGTAATTTTTCCAAAACTTTGTTTATGGCGACGTAGTTTATGCTCAAACTTGGGAGGTATTGGCCCTGAAAAACTGTATCGAGCCACCTTAATCTACGGTGATCAAGAGCCATTATGGCTCTTAAATGTGATCGAAGATGGTTACCAGTTTCTGAGTGTACATATAAGGCTATCAACTTGATGCAAGTTTTGGCTCACTCTTGGGCTGTTTGCAAATTATTTTTCTTTAAAATCAGGTAGCCTTTCCCTCAAAAGTCACATAAATGTGCTCTAAAGTTAACTTAATTGTGGGATACAAGTTTATTGTTTGATTTAAATTATAAAATTATTAATGGGAGCCTCGCTTTTAGCCCTGGCTAAATCTATATATCATGATTTAAGAGGACAACAAGGACTTTTTGTTTTGTTTACTTGTCGTTTGGGTTTCCTGTCTAATTGTATAACAGAGCTGGAAAATGCAAGGAGCTCAATTTTTGGCGTTCGAATTTTTTAACGGCAAAGTGTCTAAATTTTCGAACAGTTAGTCCGTATGAAAGGAACACATGAACGCAAGAATTTTCCACTGGTCGAAAATGATAAAGATGATTATAACATTATCGGGAGACTGCATTGAAAGAGAGCTGTAAGTCATTGATATGGCGACATTTTAGATGTGCTATTCAAATTTCAAGTCTTCTTTAAGTTTTTGTTTAATAGCTTAAGGTGACTCGACCCAGTTTTTTTTTTTTGAGGGGGAAGGGTACCATCCTTCTTTGAAGCTTTCTGGTATCCCCACCTTTACTTTTATCGTAAGTCTAACACATAGAATGGATAACATATAGATCAATCTACAATATAACATAAACTTTTTGGCGATCAGAGTAAATGTCACGTGGTTATAATACCACGCCCCTTTGAGGTCTGAGTCGAAACTCTGCTGTTGTCGGCATTTTTTCGTGAAAATCTCTCGGCTACACATAGTGCGCATTAGTGCCTTGCGCTGAACAGAGTTTCACCAAAATCGCAAAGACCCAATTCGAGAAATTCAGCGGTTTCCAAATTTAGGTCATAATTTATGAGAAAATGATAAGCACACTTTACACGGATTATATCTAATAAACTATGAGATTCATCTCTTTATTTTGGGCAGCGCGGTCATTGCACGCGTGCTGAACAAGAATGCTGTATAATGACAGACTAGAAACAATAGACAACTCACCAAGCACAAACTCAGCCAAAACGCTAAAAATCTTCAATGTTTACTCAAGTTTGGGCTTATAAAAGATAATGGTACAGTTTTTCAATGACCATGAAATTCAGAGTCCGGTTCGAATTGGGTCTTTGCGATTTTGGTGAAACTCTGTTCAGCGCAAGGCACTAATGCGCACTATGTGTAGCCGAGAGATTTTCACGAAAAAATGCCGGCAAAAGCAGATTTTCGACTCAGACCTCAAAGGGGCGTGGTATTATAACCACGTGACATTTACTCCGATCGCCAAAAATTTTATGTTATATTGTAGATTGATCTATATGTTATCCATTCTATGTGTTAGACTTACGATAAAAGTAAAGGTGGGGATAAAAGAGAGCTTCAAAGTAGGATGGTACCCCCTCCAAAAAAATGGGTCGAGTCACCTTAAGGTTGCTTTGTTAAATGCCAAAGAAAGGTTATCGAACTGTAGAGTTTTTCAAACGGGAGATTGGAATGTAATTTTAATGCTACTCTTGTCAGTTATTTTCGTTTTAAGTGTCCCTTGTTTTCTTTTATGATTCTATGGTATAAATTAATTTGTCCCTTTGAGTTGATTTGCTAACAGAAGGGATTATTTTCCCAAAGGCTCCAAGGACCAGAAGTCCATCAAGTATGGCCTTTCCCAAAGAATACTCCAAAGAACAGCTGAATTACTTCAGAATTTGTTTTACAACTACTGATATTCTCGCCGAAGGCCTACGAGAAATTTTTAAACAAGAATGGGACAAACAGCACAAATTAACAACAGGAGAATGGAAAGACGAGCCTCGGAATGGAATGGACTTTTATAACGGAGAGTCTATCCGAAACCAAAGAAGAAATGCTCATCTTTTAGCCATCATGCAAAACGGAAACAGAGAAGAATGGGATTGCACAATGCTTTTCTACGCCATTCTTTTCTCCGATTGTGTTGGGCCCAGTCTTAGCGCAACTGTGAGGATGAATGTGGATGATCTTAGAAAATTCAGAAACGAAGAATTTGCTCACATGAAACAAGGTAGTCTCTCCGACACAGATTTTCAGAATGCTATTAGCAAAGTTGAGGTGGCATTTAAAGTGCTTGGTCTTCACACTGTCAAGATTCAAGTTTTAAAAAATCAGAAAAAGTTTCCGACGGAAGAATTGCAACAGATCCTCAAAAAGGTTGATGACCTTAAACAAGAAGTTCAAGAAAAAGAGGATCAACGTCAGGTCCTTGAAGATCAGCTTCAGAAAGAAACGCCCTCATTTTGTATTCTCCCTCCTAAACCTTCACATGATGTCGGTGGTCGTGAACGAGAGGTGTCAGAAATAGCCCAGCAGCTGAGGGAGCTAAAAGAGTCCAGTGACAACCAGCTCAGTTGTCTGTACATCTCAGGGAATCCTGGAAGTGGCAAATCACAATTAGCTGGCCTCGTAGCTAAGAGGTACTTTGACGAGATTAAGGAAATATCAGGCATTTCCTCATTTGTGATGACCTTAAATGCAGCTTGTCCAGATTCACTCTTGGAGTCATATGTCTCATTTGCTCGCCATTTAAAGTGTCCAGACTATTCGGTTATGAAAATCCTCAGCTCCAAGGACTGGAAAGTAGAGGAAAAAATCACTTATCTTAAGACGCTTATTGCTGAGAAAATTCGCTGTTATACGTCTTGGCTACTGGTTGTTGACAATGTCAGCACCATGTCCTCTGTGCATGTCCATTTACCAGAGGCTGGAATCCACACTTGGGCAAGGGGTCAGATTCTGATTACAACTCAAGACATTAGGTCAATCCCCCCCGAAAGCTCTTTTGTTAATCACATCTCAGCAAGCAAAGGTATGGAGCCCAACGAAGCCTGTTCCTTATTGGCCAAGCTATCTGGAATAAAAGATAGCGATTTATTGAGAAAAGTGGCACAAAAGCTAGACTATCAACCTCTTGCTTTAGCAGGCGCTGCTGTCTTTGTCAAAGGGATACGACAGGACAAAGCATCGAAGCATTTTGGTTGGAACGAATACCTGACGATGTTAGAAAAAGGCAAAAGAGAAACTACGGAGGATACACTCGCATATACAAACCCAATTTACCCAAAGTCAATGACACAAGCAATTAAGCTAACCGTCGAAACACTAATGAGTTCTGACGAGATTGTGAAACACCTTTTCACTCTCCTTTCCCTCTGCGCACCACAACAATTAAACGTCGACGTAGCAATTAATTATATCATTAACGTACTCCAAGACTATCATGAAGATGACAAGGAACTAATACGCATGAAGTTAAGAAATTGCTCGCTTTTGCTTTTCGAAGATGACCAGGGTAGCTACCTCATTCGTGTGCACCAGGTTGTGCATGATACTATCAAACGTGTGATGAGCAATTGTCCAGAGATTGAAACCCCTCAAGTCATAAATGCCGTTATTACATCATTTGACGAATTTATAGACGCTGTTCCACAATTAAATATCAGACTGGACACCATACGTCTCGTTCCACATTTAAAGGCCATAACAATGGTAACCGACAAAGTGTTTGTAAAAGAAAATTTTCTTCAAGTTCACGACAAAGACATTTCAGAAAAATGTGAAAAAATGGCGCATATTTGTAAAATGCATTGTGAATTTGACGTAGCCAAAACATACTTTGCCCATTCACTCGCAATAAAACGTGAAAAGCTCGGCCCTGACCATGTTGAAGTTGCATCAAGCTACAATGATTTGGCTTCAACTTATCAGCACCTAGGTGACCTCGACCAAGCCAAGGAGTATCAGCAACGTGCTCTAGCGATTACACTGGACAAGCTCGGCCCTGAGCATGTTGATGTTGCAAGAAGCCTCAATAACTTGGCTTCAATTTACCAGGACCTAGGTGACCTCGAGCAAGCCAAGGAGTATCAGCAACGTGCTCTAGCGATTACACTGGACAAGCGCGGCCCTGAACATGTTGATGTTGCAACAAGCTACAATAACTTGGCTTCAATTTACCAGGGGCTAGGTGACGTCGAGCAAGCCAAGGAGTATCAGCAACGTGCTCTAGCGATTACACTGGACAAGCTCGGCCCTGAACATGTTAATGTTGCAACAAGCTACAATAACTTGGCTTCAATTTACCACCATCTAGGTGACTTCGAGGAAGCCAAGGAGTATCAGCAACGTTCTCTAGCGATTAGACTGGACAAGCTCGGCCCTGAACATGTTGATGTTGCAAGAAGCTACAATAACTTGGCTTCAATTTACCAGGACTTAGGTAACCTCGAGCAAGCCAAGGAGTATCTCCAACGTTCTCTAGCAATTAAACTGGTCAAGCTCGGCCCTGAACATGTTGATGCTGCAACAAGCTACAATAACTTGGCTTCAATTTACCTGCAGCTAGGTGACCTCGAGCAAGCCAAGGAGTATCAACAACGTGCTTTAGCGATTAGACTGGACAAGCTCGGCACTGCACATGTTGATGTTGCAACAAGCTACAATAACTTGGCTTTAATTTACCAGGACCTAGGTGACCTCGACCAAGCCAAGGAATATCAGCAACGTGCTTTAGCGATTAGACTGGACAAGCTCGGCACTGCACATGTTGATGTTGCAACAAGCTACAATAACTTGGCTTTAATTTACAAGGACCTAGGTGACCTCGAGCAAGCCAAGGAGTATCAGCAACGTTCTCTAACGATTAGTCTGGACAAGCTCGGCCCTGCACATGTTGATGTTGCAAGAAGCTACAATAACTTGGCTTCAATTTACAAGAAGCTAGGTGACCTTGAGCAAGCCAAGGAGTATCAGCAACGTTCTCTAGCGATTAGACTGGACAAGCTCGGCCCTGAACATGTTGATGTTGCAACAAGCTACAATAACTTGGCTTTAATTTACAAGGACGTTGGTGACCTCGAGCAAGCCAAGGAGTATCAGCAACGTTCTCTAGCGATTAGAGTGGACAAGCTCGGCCCTGAACATGTTGATGTTGCAACAAGCTACAATAACTTGGCTTTAATTTACAAGGACGTTGGTGACCTCGAGCAAGCCAAGGAGTATCAGCAACGTGCTCTAGCGATTAGACTGGACAAGCTCGGCCCTGAACATGTTGATGTTGCAACAAGCTGCCACAACTTGGCTTTAATTTACAAGGACGTAGGTGACCTCGAGCAAGCCAAGGAGTATCAGCAACGTGCTCTAGCGATTAGACTGGACAAGCTCGGCCCTGAACATGTTGGTGTTGCAACAAGCTACAATATTTTAAACAAGGACGACGGCGGCGGCACTGAAAACAGCAAACGAGCATAGGTTTATATAAGGAAAGCAACAGCTTGGCACATGCATCACGCCTTTTGTACATTTTGTAGTCGTCGTTGCATGAGTACGACGTGAAAGAGCCTAATTTCACGTTTTGCCTAGGAAGGGAACACAAGACAACAACTTTCTTTTCCTTTTTCTGAACTTTGATATGGTCCTTTAGAATTTAACTCTAAAGTCATTTGCCAATATTTGACGAATTAAACGAGATGGAATAAGGGTGATAAAGATTGAGGTAGCGCGAATTTATTTTTGTAGTGACGTTTTCGTACCCGTCGCCATCGTTGTTGCTTAGGCTCCTTATTGCTTTTGTATAATTGGAGTACAAACAAAATGTATCAAGCAAATCAAAGCAATCGCGCAGGCTGACAGACTCACGCGAAATTTTTTGCCCTTTTAAGGGAGTACACCAATGGTAACCAGATGCATTGTCCATCCAAAACATAAATACTTACCTGCGGGTTGACTTACCGCGATCTATGTAAAGTTATAAAGAATTAACCATTATTAACTTCAGGCATTGGCTTGGCCTTCTATACGTTTTACGGAAAAATGGCATCCCCTCCTGATATCAGAATTTCTCACCATCTCCTCTTTCCTTTTGAAAACATTTTAAGATCTCTCTTTTTTATAGTTGTACTGCGGCTAGCTGGGTGTGATCGAAACGATATCAAAAATTATTTATATTCGTTTGCGTTTTTACTTTCAGTAGGTGTAAAAGCAGCTAAACTCGGCCCTAAATTCGAAAAAGGCCTTCGTTCGGTAAAAGATTACGCTTCTAAGCTTTTGCTTAGCTCGGCAGCGATAAAACTAAAAGTGACTTGTCGTTTTAGATTCAGTAGCTGAACAGTCCTAGTAGTCTAAGAAAGAGAATTACAGTTGACTCCCGATAACTCGAACCTTCCCCTGACTCGGCGTAATTTTTGTTTCCCTTCATATCATTTCTATACAATTTTCAACAGAAATAGATGATACACTTGGGTTAATAGGCTCCTAATTAGAAATTAATGCAAGTATCATTTTAGGTTGTAATAACAATTCTTTATATCAAAGGGTTGATCAGTGGTCAGAAGAGGGAAATCGCGTGACTTCATGATTCGATAACTACATGAACACTGACACTGTATTATAATATCATCAGGAACCGAATACTCGGCTTCTGTAATCAGTGAAAAATGCAAACTGTAATGTCGTACTTTAGTGAAGCGTTGCCCTGCTCAGGCCACTTAAGGCATGACTACCTAACTAAATATGCATGTTTTAGTAAATTCTATTTAGAACGATTTGCTTCCATCAGTACTCCTGAAAAGTGAACTACAAATGAGGCTCAACGAAAAAAAAAACACGTGAAACGTGATTTCAAATAACACGTGACATCGCTTCGTCAATGACGTGACAAAACACGTTTTCCTAAACGAGGAAGGGTTGCAAACCTTAATCTTAGGAATTTTCACTACCAAAATGTTACATAAATAGTGTAAATCGTAAATTCACCTTGTATGATTGGAAATGTTATTTATCCTATTAGCTATTGAACTAATTAATAAGCCACTTGACCCTTTTCCCTTTATTTACCGATTCCTATATAACGTAAACACACATACAAGGCGAATTTATAAGAACCTTTTTAATAGCCTCTGAAATGTACCTAAAAGAACTTGTTGCTCTTTCATTGTCCTTTCCCCATTTTAGAGTAAACATTTTGACCGTCAATTCTCAATTATCAGTCACGTGACGAAAATTTGAGCTTCTAAAATGCGCTCATATTGCTAAGGCCATTAACCTACATTTGTAGTTCAATTTTTAGGATCATTGATAGAGGCAAACCGTTCTAAATAGCATTTTTTCAAAATATGCATATTTAATTAGATAGTCATGCCTTAAGTGGCCTGAGTGATTGGCTGATTAAAATCTTAGTGAATAAGTTTTTTACACAACGGAAAATTGAACTGAATCGTCAACTTATATAAAATAAAGAAATAAATAGAGAGACAATGCAGAAAGTTTTTGATACTAGGGTTGTCTATTGATACTACCTGTTGAATGCAGCGTAGCAACTTCAAAAAGCGTTGCAAGCGTAGCTAGCATGGCAAGGGCAAAAAGTGTAGCAAGCAAATGTAGCAAGCGCATAGGGCAACAAGTATAGAAAATGTACTGTAGCAAGCGCACCAAGTGGATCTTAGCAAGCGTAGCAAACGTAATAGCGGAGCGAAGCGCGCGCGCGTGGGCGGAGCCCCATAGCTAAGTAAATCTACCCATCCCAGAAAATTTGGTTATCACGTGACCGTACACCGAACGAACGAACGAACGAACGACCGTCCGTCCGCACCACAGGCATACCAATGTTTACTGTCACACTTTCTAGATAGTTTGGAAGCCCAGGAGAAAAGTGATTGCACATCAATGTTGTGATCAATTGACAGCTGTCAAAACAGGGTTTCCGCTGACCAGTATCACCTGACCGTATCGCGGGCTCAGGTGTCGACCCATCGAGGTCGAGTATTTTTTGAAGTTATCCCCTGACAAATTACTAGTTTTCAAATGATCGCAAGCTCAAGTTTGTTTTTTTAAAAATTTATATGAAATGTGTCGTGTTTATGTCACTATGGCCCAGCACTATTAAGATTTTGATTTCAAACTTACCTCGGACACGAAAATTCAGCCAGTTATTTAAAAACACAGGCGGAGAAGACCTTTTGTTATCATGGACACGCGTTGGTCACGCTCTACGTCCAATTTTTATGCTCTGATTGGTCAAAATTTGACAGGTGAGTTCATGCAGAAAATTTATGCAGCATCTCGAAACTTGTTTACTTTTGACAGCTGAAGCTGACAGAGTTTTGTGTCAACTTGTGATGTTTTTTTTTTTTATGTCTTTCTCCACTGGATGTACAAAATGAAATACAGCTGCTATCAAGAGTCTTCTGTTATTCATGGCTGGTTTGTTTGTTGGGTTTTTGGTTGAGAAATGCAGCATCTTGAAACTTGTTTACTTTGACAGCTGAAGCTGACAGAGTTTTTGTCAACTTGTGATGTTTTTTACTGTCTTTTCCCACTGGATGCACAAAATGAAATACAGCTGCTATCAACAGTTCTCTTATTCATGGCTGGTTTGTTTACTGAATTTTTGGTTGAGAAATGCGCCGCTTGTCGAAGTCACAAATCCGATTTCTGATGACATCGTTTTCATTTTTCACCTTGCTAGATGCGGGTTGAAAAGTCCCTCAAGCGGCTTTCAGGAGCTGCATCTCGAATGGTAAGTCTGAGTAATTATTGTGTTTGTTTTTTGTATATCTAATTTCATGAAGTCGAGCGCAGTTTATGAGGCTAGTTTATGCACGTTTGTATTAAGATCTGAGACAATGATCTGACCTACTATGAGATTTGATATAAGCTTACAGAACTTTAAAAAACCTTTAGTCGATATTTTCTCTCCGCAAATAGAAAGAAAAAATGTTCCGAAGAGTATTTAGTTATAATTTTGGCTGTAGAAAGAAAGCTTTGAGCGATTTTCTTGCCTCGAGTTCATCTTTGAAAACAGTAAACACGGGGAAGCCGGCTAAAAGCTTTAAGCTTCAGCTTAAGGACTTAGGATTTTGAGAGACGCTTTAATACTTGTCTTCGTGAATGAAAATTTTTGTCTCTGTAAATGTTTCACCGAATTATATTTCTTTTATTGATCGTTAGTAGTCTCTTGCAATTTTAAACACTTTGCCGTTTGTTTTCAGTCGTTCATAAACATCGCTTGGAGGAGTACTCAAAATGCCGCGCGTATCAAATGCTCTTTAAGATTACACATCGTTTTAAAACCATTAAATGAAAAATAAACACAATAAATTCTTTATTATGTGGAAGCGTAACTCTTTTAATGCTTACTGAAAATTTGGCGCTTGTCAAAAGTGAGAACCGGCTGGCCGTACGGGGGTTTTTTGAAATTTTTTGAACGGTTTTGCTAAAAGCCCACGTGTGCTTCGATGGTTCTGAATATTTGTCTTGAAAAATTGTGAAATACTGCATTTTGTCTGAGGTCTGTATGATAAAAACAGCGCCTCATATTACTGTTTCACCTCAGATGTGATGTATAAAAAGTATGAAATGTTGGTTTACACGCACCCAGATTTGTTGGCAAGATTTTGTTAAGTAAACTTGTCGAACGTCAAAAATTCGGCCTGATTTGTTTTCCAAGAATTCGTTTTCCAGGCCTAATCTACTGTGATCAAGAGCCATCATGGCTCTTAAATGTGATCGAAGATGATTGCTATTTTTTGAGTGTACATATAAGGCTATCAACTCGATGTAAGATTTTTTTTCACTCTAAAATCACTTAGCCTGAGCTTTCCCTAAAAAGTCACATATGTGCCCTAAGTTAACCGATTTGTAGATTACAGGTTTATTGTTTGATCTAAATTATAAATTTATTAATGGGAGCTTCGCTTTTAGCCCTGGCTAAATCTATATATTAAGTGTAGCAAGCGTGGAAGCCGTAGCAAGAGTAACAA